AGCAAAGCTGCAGTTGGCCGCAAAGGCACCGCTGGCAGGAAAGGTGAAACTGGCAGCAAGGGCCCCGCTACAAGCAGGAAAGGCAGGAACAAGATGCCCCCTGCTTGGGCTACTGCTTCGGTGCCTTCTTCAAGCAGGAGCTGGAAAGGCAAAGGCATCTCAGAAGAAGATGGTGCTGGTGGCTATGGCCAAGGTGCTGGGAAGCAATCTTCAACGTTTCACCACAAAGGTGGGGAGGCTAGTGAGAAATAGATATGTGGCTTTGTGCAGCAAAAGGCATGGGCAGCTTCAGTGCTGGCAGCAGTCTTGCAGCAGTCAGCCACTTTCAGGCTCATTGCATTGACACACTTTTCAACAGTCAGCCACTTTGAGGCTCATTGCATTGACACATCTTTGCAGCAGTCACAGCCAAATCATTTGTGTTTTGGGTGTGCTTTGGGAACCGGCCCTATATGAACTTATGCTGAAAGCTTTGGCTGCAGACACACAAACGCACAGCCAGTCCTCACACATGCCCTTGCAGAAACAATCATGCTTGCAAGCTGCAAAGCTGTTTTGCTGCTGCCACCTTTGCTTGCTGCACTTTGAATGTGGCTGCTGGCTCTTCTCTACTTTCTGCTGCTGCAGCCCTTCTTCTTGTCACAGGTGCTACAGTGAGCCAAGGAGCCGAATGCCCTTAACTAAAGAACAGCAATGAGCCTCAAAGTGGCCGCTGAAGCCATAGTAGGCCTTTCAAGGTTTGTGCAAGTTCAGATGCCAGAGAATGGAAAGCCATGGCCATGCCATGCAATGCTTCAGCAAAGCAAGCGAGGGACTCAAAGCTCAAGCAGATCAATAAGTTGAGGAGGTCTGTTCCATATGTTTCAGCAGCAGCACTGGAAGCAATTGTGAAGGAAATTGCAAAGGAAGGCATCCCACAGCTTTCAGGCAGAAAGCACATGAGAGAGGGTGCTTCCAATCAGCTTGCAGAAATAAATGGTTTTGGCCCTTTGCTGCAGCAGTTTGATGCTGTGACCTTGCAACAGAGTGTGGTGAAACTCACAATGGTTAACTTCCTGTCCCTGCTTTCAGGTGCATTTGGGCAAGGAGGGTCTTACCATGACCTCATTATGAAGACACACTTGGCAAAGCCAAGCACCTTCACTGATCCTTGGGGGGTCTGCATCTATGCAGATGAACTGCACCCAGGGAACCAGCTGTCCTTGAAGGGTGCAAGAAAGCTGTGGGCAGTTTATGCCACACTGACATCCTTTGGGCAAGCAGTGATGTCAAACTCTGCAGCTTGGATGGTGCTGCTTGTGTGCAGAAGTGAGATTGTAAACCAGCTTGATGGCAACATTGGCCAATGCATCAAACTCTTACTGCATTCCATGTTCAACAACCCCTATGGCAACCCAGCCTATGGAGTGCCACTGCAGTGTGGTGGCACAAGAATAAGGTTGTTTCTACAGCTGCAGATGTTTTTGCAAGATGGTGGGGCAATGAAATACACCTTCAGTGTGAGAGGTGATGGGGCATCCAGATTCTGTCCAATGTGCAAGAACCTGTTTGTGCTCAAGGCAGCTGTTTGCAGTGAAGAAGATGATGAGGATTGCAGTATGATGTGCAAGACTATAAAGCACTCTGAGCTTGACCTATGCACAGACAGTGAGCTCTTGCAGACCGTCGTGGCAGTGTGAGTGCAGGGGATTGGAAATTGTGGCAGCAAGCTACTGGCATGACTTTCACAGCACATGGGCTGCTGGAAGACAAAAGCCTCAGGCACATGGTGAAGCCATTGAAGCAGTGGTGCCATGATTACATGCATGGCATGTGCAGCAATGGTGTGATGAACTCCCTCATTTTTTTGGTGTTTCAATCAATTTCCCAGAATGGCCTCAATGTTTGGAATATCATGTTCAGTTGGCTTCAGCTGTGGACCTTTCCACAGGCAACAAGGCACAGCAAGGTGCACCAGCTGTTCACCAACAAGAGGGTGGAGTCACACAAAAAGGCCAGGAAGCTCAAAGCCCAAGCTTCAGACATTTTGAGCCTGTACAAGATGATTGCTTTCTATTTGCAGACTGTGTGCATGAAGGCAGGCCTCTGCATCAAGCAATGTCATGCATATTTGTGTATGTGCACTGTTCTGGACCTCTTGCAAAGTGTGCCTCATGGGGTTGTGACAGCCAAGATGATCACAGCTTCCGTGGAAGCAGCTCTGGAAGCCATGCGTGCTGCTGGGTGGCAATCAGAAATGGTCCCTAAGCACCACTGGATGCTGCACTATGGTGATGCTCTAAGAAAATTCCAGATGCTGCCAGCATGCTGGAGCATGGAGAGGAAGCACAAGTTGCTGAGGAGGTTTGCAGACCCCATTCAAAACACAAGCAAATACGAGCTGTCTATGTACCATGAAGTCTTGACACAAGAGCTTACAGAATGGCAGCAGGAAGGGGTCTTTGCAAATGGGGTGGGGCTCCTTGCCCCACACCCAGCACCGAAAAAGCTTGCTCTGTTTCTGCAGCAGAACTTTGACTACCTCTTGGGGGTGGAGGCTTGCAACACAAGCCACCGGTGCAGGCTTGGGTGTGGTAGCACTTGCTCCAAAGGAGATATGATTTTGTTCAATGACCCTGGCAGCAAGCATCACAAAGACTTGGCCTTTTCTTGTGGGCAATGCTGGTGCCACTTCGAAGTGGAAGGCATTGTGTACACACTTGCTTCAGAGTTTGCTTTGAAATCCTTTGATGGGGGCCAAGGGAAAGCTGAATGGGAGCAGTTGGACACACATGTGGTGTTGCCTGCTGAGGAAATCCAATGCTCTGTGGTGTACAATCTGGCTAGCAATGGCACTTTGACAACACTTGTGCCTTACCACCTGTGCCCCACGCGGGCAGTTGACGGGGAAGTGCAAAAGGGTGCCACGTGCCAAACATGTGTTCATTCAGCCAGTCAGCACAGTGTGCTCATTCAGCCAACCAGCCCATGGGCTCGTGTCACAGTTCCAGGCAGCAGTCAGCACAATGTGCTCATTCAGCCATGCAACAAGCCCAGTAACCTCAGCCACATGTAGGCTCACTTGCAACCAGCACACATGGCAACCTCAACTGTGGCTTGCAATGGGGGTGTGCATGGGCCTTTGGATGATACTCCGCAACTGGCGGTGTGCAAGTCTATGTTGCAGCACATGCTGTTTGCGCTTCTGCAGCTTGCTGTGCCGTTTGTGACCTGCTTCTTGAAAGCACTGCAGCGCTGCCCCATGCAGCATGTCTTTAGAAGCCTTGCAAGCAATCTGGTGCACCCAAAGGTGCTCCTCTTGGCAGGGGCTTCATGGAAAATTGGTTCCCTGTCTCAATGGATTTCAAATTTTCAAAGCCTGGGCAAAGGCGCGCCTGTCCATGTTTTTTTGAGCTTAGATTGTGCAAGTTAATGCAAGTTAATTGCTAGCTAATTATTAGCTAGTGATTTCTAATTTTTATAATTAACATACCTAATTATGTTAAAGTACTAGAAGGCTATACCAATTCACCGGCCCATCTAAGTGTGCGCGTGCGCGTGCGCACGCGCGTGCGCGCGCGTGCCGGTGCGCGTGCCAAAGGCATGCCGGTGCGCGTGCGCGTGCGCGTGCGCGTGCGCGTGGTGCACGTGCGCGTGGTGCGCGTGCGCGTGGTGCGCGTGCGCGTGGTGCGCGTGGCGTTGGTGCGCGGTGGCACGCGTGGCGTCGTTGCGCGTGCGTGCGCACGACGTCGTGCGCGCAGGCGAGCGGGCCGCGCGAGCGCGCGCGGGCGGTGTGCGGGCATGCGGGCGCGCGGGCGGCGTGCGAATGCGCGGGTGTGCGGGCGTGCGGGCGCGCGGGCGGCGTGCAAAAGTGCGGGTGTGCGGGCGTGCGGGTGTGCGTGTGTGCGGGTGCACGGATGTGCGGGTGTTCTGTGGGTGTTTTTTTGTGGGTGTTGTGTGGGTGTTGTGTGGGTGTTCTGCGGGTGTTGTGTGGCTGTTGTGTGGGTGTTGTGTGGGTGATGTGTGGGTGTTGTGTGGGTGTTGTGTGGGTGTTGCGTGGGTGGTGCGTGGTGGTGTGTGGGTGGTGTGTGGGTGTGTGTGGGTGTGTGTGGGTGTGTGTGTGTGTGTGCGGGTGTGTGTGTGTGTGGGTGTGGGTGTGTGGGTGTGTGTGGGTGTGTGTGTGGGTGTGTGGGTGTGTGTGGGTGTGTGTGGGGGTGTGTGGGGGTGCGGGTGTGTGTGTGTGTGTGTCTCTGTGTGTGTGTGTGTGTGTCTCTGTGTGTGTGTGTGTCTTTGTGCGTGTGTGTCTCTGTGTGTGTGTCTCTGTGTGTGTGTGTGTGTCTCTGTGTGTTTGTGTCTGTGTGTCTCTGTATGTCTGTGTCTGTCTGTGTCTGTGTGTGTGTCTGTGTGTCTGTGTGTGTGTGTGTGTCTGCGTCTGTGTGTGTGTCTCTGTGTGTGTGTCTCTGTGTGTGTGTGTCTCTGTATGTGTGTGTCTGTGTGTGTGTGTGCGCGTGCGCGTGCGC